CTTCCAGGTACCCACCCCTCTCTGGCCATGCATAAGACAATATTAGAAAGCCAACACAAAGCAATAGATCATGGTGGAGTTTATGGATTATTTGTTTTTTAGTTTAAAACCATGAATTTTGCTCCTGTACTTTCAACAGTCTGCCCTAGGCTTTTAACCAGCTTTTGGAAAATCCATCTCAAAGGTGGTGAAATATTTGGCAATATCTTAATATTGTTAAGAAGTGGCAGAAATGGCAAGATGAAATCATTGACAGCGTCAGGAGTATAAAGCATGTTTTGTTTGTTGGATAATTCTCTAGCATTTTCCACTGACTTAAGTCTGTTGTCTTTAAATTCCTTATTGAAAAAAAAATGAGTTCTGCCAAATCATATAATGTCAGTATTATCTCAAAAATTGAAGCATCACTATAGACTAAACTTTTCAAATAGTATTTTATTCCCTCAACAATTTTTTAAATATTTCCTCAATTACTTATACAGTCAGCTGAACACAGCATTAAAGGGCATGGAAAAGAGATCATTATCTTATGACACATGCTAAAAGTCACTTAAATATGATGCTGACAGATCTTGGAAGCTCTTGCATGAGTTTTAAGAAAAGCTACACATGGATATTAAACGTTTGGTGTAACTTGCTTTAAGCCAGTAACAATCACTAGGTAGTGAGGAAAGCAAAAACAAGCTGACAGTGACTCAAAGCATACAAAGAAATAACAACAAACATACCTGAGAGCGGCTGTAATAATTAACATGGTCTAGACTGATTTCTTCACTGGAAACCACATGAAAAAAAAATCTTTAATGGATATTTTTACTAACAATTCACACCCTGCTAGTCACCATGCAAGCAGATAGTATTTCTACCACAGAGGATGGATTCCGATCCTGCAAATATTTACTTAGACATTTCCCTTCCTCATTCTGATTAGTCTTATTTGTCACTCAGAGAGGCACTGGCATATGCCCAAGCATCTGCAGGATCAGGGTCTGGAACAGGTAAGATAACCAAAACAGAAATTGAAACCCTGGAGGCTTGCCCTCAAATCCCATACATTCAGGCAGTGGAAGATCCAGAGAAAACTCTCCTAAAGCCCAGTCTGTTGGCCTTTCCTGAAAACCACAGCTGTTTCACAGGATGCTGGAGAAAGGCATCTAACTCTAAGGAACAGTTCTGCCTTACTCCAAGTAATTGTGAAGATTTTAGTTGGACATCTAACCAGCAGCAGAACCCATTTAACTCCAGAGAGGTTGCTGACTGACAGGCAGAGCTGACGCAGCAGGACAGCTCTTCTCATCTAATGCTGATTCTCAAAAGGCCACAAAACCTTAATCAATTCATTCACACAGACATGCATAGAGAAAGAAAATCAGTTTCCTATTAGGATTTGGGAAGTCATCTAAGACACTGCCTTCTGATCGGAGTAACTTGGCCCCGACCCTACTTCCATTATACGCAGTCCATTTAATGAACATAGATTAGAGTCCATTTTTAAAGCTCGTCCCTTGGTACTGTAGCTTATATCGTGACTTCTTAAAATGAAATGAATGAAACTTGTTTTCCTCACGAAGATTCCCCTGGTGGTAAATTTCATAAAATATCTTTAAGGAGTATTTTTGTTCCTGGAAAATATCTTGTTACTAGACTGCTAGCACAGAATTAGGTTCCTCCCCACCACTTGATCCTATTAAACTCCAACTCCACTTCAGCAAAAAGCAACTAGCAATCCACCATCACTGGACAGATGCAATTCTCTTTCTTGGCAACACTTGTATCTGCCAAATAATGTACCATTTTCATTGTTGGCTTTCCACACGAGGGCAGAAAAAGCTCACGCATTTGGCTGCATACTGGAACTACAAGCTGTCTACAAAGGCTCTTGCTGGTTAAGACTGGAGGCACTAGTTTTTCATGGGAAGTGAGGAGCTTTCCTCCAAGTTTCAGTCCAGAAAGTCAACCATACCCTGGGCTGCATCACCAGCAGCATGATCAGCAGGTCAAGGGAGGGAATTCTACTTCTCTACCCTGCTCTGGTGAGACCCCACCTGGAACAGTGCATGCCACTCTAGAGTCCTCAGCACAGGAAAGACATGGACCTGCTGGAGCAAGTCCAGAGGAGGCCACAAAAACGACCAGAGGGCTGGAGCACCTCTCCCATGAAGACAGGCTGAGAGAGTTGGGGTTGTTCAGCCTGGAGAAGAGAAGGCTCCGGGGAGACCCTCTAGCAGCATTCCAGTACCTAAAGGGGGCCTACAAGAAAGATGAGGACAAGCTTTTTAGCAGGCCTCTTGCCACGACAAGGGGTAATGGTTTTAAACTATAAGAGGGTAGATTTAGACTCAATCTACAGAAGACATTTTTTACAATGAGGGTGGTAAAACACTGGAACAGGTTGCCCAGAAAGGAGGCAGACACCCCATCCCTGGAAACATTCATGGTCAGGTTGGATGGGGCCTTGAGCAACCTGACCTAGTTCAAGATGTCCCTGCTTACTGCAGAGGAATCGGACTAAATGACCTTTAAGGATCCTTTCCAACCCGAACTATTCTCTAAGTTTCAAAGGAGCTGATGGTGCCAGAAAACGCATGCTTTTCCCTTGCAAGACTGATCTTATTCAATGTTCAAATAAGACTGACTCTCAGAAGAACTAAAAGCAAAGAGAAAGCCTTGAGATAGAAAAAATGAAAAACAAGAGAACAGAAGCCATGAAGATGACAAAACAAAGCTCATGGATGTTGAGTAACTGGAGCTATTTCAGAACAAGATAAAGTTAGGCGTGGTGAAAATAGAGACTGTGCAGCCTTCTCTGTCCTGTAACTGGTTAACTCAATTCGTTATTCAGGACTGTTCTTAAGACTCTTCATTAATGCTTCCTACATGGTGTTATCATCACGTGTTCGATCATCTCTGGATGATGTAGGAGCTATGGCTACTCTCACAGACAACCCCCAGGATTCATTTACTCATGCCTTTGGCTGGGTTACTGCAGCAAGGACACCAGGGCATGAAGCTGTTCAACACACAGGACACTGTTGTGCACTTCCTCACCACAGAAGTAGCAGCAGACACTGCATCTCACCTCCGTCTTCTGTATTGCCTTCCCACAAAATGTTCTACCAAAGGTAAGGGTCTAACTCATAGTTCCACAGCCTACATCAAAGACAATTTTACAAACATACACAAAAACTTCTACCAAGACAAGTTCTGTTCAACACATCCTTCTGTCTCAGATACTAGAATGTTTACGTCACAGGATAAAGTATGCTGCAGTTTAAAAGTAGACAGTAGTCTGCTGGGGGTTAAGAAACAACCTCTCCCTCTACACCCTCAGGCATGATCACAATTAAACTATCTACATCAACTGCAAGAGGCATTTTTTTAACCTTCACTTTTTTAACTTGTATGTACGGAAATAATCTGATAATAACAACCACCACCACCACCAAAACCGTGCAGAGACCCACCAAACAGGACTTTGCACTTCATGTAGCTCTTACAAAGCAGAAGAGATTAGAGGAATAACTTAGTAGCAGTGATAAAGCTATAGTTGCGTTTCACTTAACACTGGAAGGTACACTCATACTACAGCGATAAGCACAGTCACATTCTCCTGAAGCACTGCAGAATAACACTTCAGAGAGAAAAAAAAGGATGGGAGGAAAAAAAAAAAGACAGAATTAAAATATTAAGCTAAAAGTAGGACCACAAGCCTGAAAAAACCCAAAGCAAACATTTCCTGCGGGTCAAAGCACAAAACCCAGAAATATCACTTAAACATACAGCAATTTAATGAATCTCCTCTCTTGCTAGCAGTCTAGTAGATGCTTAAAATGGACTGTACTGCTGCTACAATATGACTGTATTAACGCAATTTGCTGCCTGTTTTCTGCATAACCAAATTGTTTCATCTGCTACACAGCACTCATTTGCTTTTCAGTACTATCATCTCAGTCCAGGTATTAGCACGTAAGCTTTCCTGAAAGACAGGCCCAATTAAAAGTAATCCTCCTTACCAGATAGCTCAAGCACAGAAAGGACGAACCCAGTGATCAAAACCAGTCCTAAAAGTCACCTTTCCAGGTAAAGACAGGGCCACTTTGGTGAAGCAAAAGATGCTAACGTCACTCCATAAGGAAAGGGCTGTAGCTTTTGAGCCTGTAAAATCAGTGCCTTTCACGAACACCACATTTGCTCCACATTCAGCATTCAGAATTCATATTTCTGAAACTGGATCTCTGATCTGGAAGGCTCACACCATGGTAAGGAAGCAGCTCCCTTTCATTTGTTCATACTTTAAACCATTTCGGTTGTCAATATATCTGCTCAGAGGCAGACTGGACCAAATTCTTAGATTCTGTAAATGATCACAGCTTCACTGACGTCCACGGAGCTACAAGAGACACCACCAAATTCCTGGCCTTTGCACTGCACTGTATCTTGTCAGTAATTGTATCATTTTCCCCTAAAGTGAGCAATCACAGGCAAGAAGATGTGGACTGAGCAGCAGTACTTACTGCAGTTCTCTGCCTTTTTGTTTCGATGAATCACCGTCTTTTGACTGGGTGTGCTGAAGAGGCTGGTCCAGTTGACAGTGTGGTAGTAGCACAAATTGCTGTTGTCTGTTATGTAGATGTTGCCAGCACTGATTTGCTTCAAGGACTGAAACTGCAGAGAGGTAATGCCTTGTTGCTTTAGGATGAGCAAGGAAAGGCCACTGTGAGGAAAAAAAAAATAAAATTAAGAAAGAACAGGAATTAGCTCCAGAAAGTACAACTTAAAGCTGGTGGGGAATTTCCCACTACATTTAGTTCCTAATGTCAAGATGATCTTTCTGGCAAAACTGAAATTTGATCAGAACACCTATTTTTGGTGACACAAATATTTTCTGAGTCAAAATCCAGTTCTGTTGCCTAGAAAATCATTAACGCTGTGAGATTTGTAAGACCACAAATTGTGATGCTCACAGCGCTAGGCCAACTGGGCCTTGACTAGTTCCATTTCATCCATTAACATGTTTTTTGAGATAAAGTGCTATTGAGAAAAATGAATAAAATCCAGACTTTTTTTCCTAATATAACAGAACTAATACTATGATAGTTTATATGCTAAGGAGAAACTGACAAAGTTATGCAAATGTAGTAACATCTTCTGTCAGGTATCAAATTAATCTCATTTATAGTAACACAGAAGAAATTATTTCCAAGGAAGTTTTTCCAGCTTACTTTCCACATTTCATTTGTCTTTTGTTGTAATATGTGGTTAACACCTTTCTTCATCAAAGGAATCTAAGCGATTGTCTGTGTAACATCTATATGACTGCACATGTTTTATGACTAAATATTAGTGAGGACAATATTCAGTTTCTGGGCATCCTTTTAAGTTATTGTATTTTAATGATTGTAATTGTTTTCCAGCTGTTCTACACAAAAATTGCTGCTTCCAAACAGAATGTTGGGCTATAATTCAGTCTCAAGGTTTCACTGCTATTTATAATCTGCTCAGGTTGTTCTTTAAGATCCCAGCAGAATCCCAGGATTGATTCAGAGAATCCTAGAATGGTTTGGGTTGGAAGGCATCTCAAGGATCATCCAATTCCAACCCCCATGCCATGAGCAGGGACACCCTCCACTACACCAGATTGCCCAAAGCCTCATCCAACCTGGCCTTGAACACTTCCAGGGATGGGACAGCCACAACTTCTCTGGGCAACCTGTTCCAGTGCCTCACCACCCTCTGAGGGAAGAATTTCTTTTTTAGATCTAAATCTCCCCTCTTTCAGTTTAAAGCCATTGCCCATCGTCTCATCACTACACATCCTTGTAAAAAGTCCCTCTCCAGCTTTCCTGTAGGCCCCCTTTAGGTACTTGAAAGCTGCTATAAGATCACCCCGGAAGCCTTCTCTTCTTCAGGCTGAACAGCCCCAACTCTCTCAACCTGTCTCCATAGCAGAGGATGCTCCAGCCCTCAGATCATGTTCGTGGCCTCCTCTGGACCTGCTCCAGCAGCTCCATGTCCTTCTTGTGCTGGGGACTCCAGAGCTGAACACAGTATTCCAGGTGGGGTCTCACCAGAGCAGAGGGGCAGAATCCCCTCCTTCAACCTGCTGCCCACGCTGCTCTGGGTGCAGCCCAGGGCACGGGTGGCTTTCTGGGCTGCCAGCGCACATTGCTGGCTCATGTTGAGCTTCTCATCCACCAGCACTCCCTAGTCCTTTTCCTCAGGGCTGCTCTCAATCCGTTCTCCACCCAGCCTGTACTTGTGCTTGGGATTGCCCTGACCCATGTGCAGGACCTTGCACTTGGCCTTCTTGAACTTGATGACGTTCTCACAGGCCCACCTCTCCAGCCTGTCAAGGTCCCTCTGGATGGCATCCCTTCCCTCCAGCGTGTCCACAACACCACACAGCTTGGTATCATCTGCAAGCCTGCTGAGGGTGCACTTGATCCCACTGTCCACATCACCAACAAAGATGTTAAATAGCACCGGCCCCAGTACTGACCCCTGAAGACCACCACTCATCACTGGTCTCCACTTGGACATTGAACCGTTGACCACAACTTTTTGAGCGCGATCATCCAGCCAATTCCTTATCCACCGAGTGGTCCATCAATCAAAACCATGTCTTTCCAGTTTAGAGACAAGGATGTCGTGTGGGACAGTATCAAATGCTTTGGACAAGTCCAGGTAGACGATGTCAGTTGCTCTTCCCTTCTCCATCAATGCTGTAACCTCATCATAGAAGGCCACTAAATTAGTCAGGCAAGATTTGCGCTCAGTGAGGCCATGCTGGCTGTCACCAAACACCTCCTTATTTTCCATGTGCCTCAGCACAGTCGCCAGGAGGATCTGCTCCACGATTTACTACATTTACACAATGGGGAACCAGAGGTGGCTGCATATATCGTTCAGGTACCTTGTGCTTTCCTCATTGTTTCTCACCACATTTTCTTCTCTTCAAACCAATTCTGTGTAAGTCTTCACACGGAAACATCTCTGGCAAAAACGGTACTGCAGAGCTAACGCACCCCTCATCTGTAAGGTACCTCAGCGGTTTCAGTGTTCTTCAATGTATTTATCTTTTACTGCTTCTTAAGATCACATTGTTCTTTGGGCATGTAAGCCTGCACTTCCAGTCGCAACCACATAAACTTCCAAATAATGGGCTAAGTTCTCCTATTAACATCTTTTAAGTTATGTTTCACATTCACAAGGTATTTTAAACCATAAAACCTACTTTCTGGACAATGAGATAACAGCTTCAGCAACGAACCAAGATGGTGGGTTTTTGTTTGTGTTTTTTTTTTTCTTTTTTAAATCATTATGTTCAAAAGGTATTATCCATTATAAACAACTGACTAGCAAAGATATTGTTAATTAATACCTTGGTAAGAGAGAAAAACATTATCAGTTTATGATGTCCTTCCCAAAGGATGCTGCATTCTGTGCCACTGAACAAATCATTGAATATGAATAAAAAAACAATTTCATCAACAGAGGAAGTACCTTACCTATAGAGAGCTCTTCCACCAATGGTAACCAAGTTGGAAAACACCCTGAAATCTGTCATGTTCTCAGGCCACGACTGGATGTTCAAATACCCTGAAGGAGAAAAAGGCAAGCATTAAAGTATCAATGACTTCAGCCAGAAAGACTGCTCTATCACATACATGATTTAGGACAGGCTTAGCCTAGAAATGAAAGACAGTGAAGGTTTGAGAAAAAGAAATAAACAGGTGCTGAACACTGCAGACTACTGTCTTTGAATTCATCAGGCTGCTCACCACTGTCTCCTCCAAGGAGGCAAAGGAGGACTCTTAACAGTCACAGCAGCATTACGTCCACTTTTGACAGCCACCGTGCGGGAGAACCTAAACGCTGGCTGAAACCCCTCAGTCTTTTCTAAACAGCAGTGGCAGAAAAAAATGAGGATTTGCCTGAATTAAGAACATTTAGTTTTAAAACGTGCTAGAGACTTAGAACAGAGGTTGAGAGATCCATTATGATGCACTAGAAGACAAGACTCTCCTAAACCAAAGAACTTGCATTGGTTTCTGAGCATGTGTGTGAGGACTGTTCTTTACCACCTGCACAAGTACGTGGGACTACTTTTGTGCTACAGACCTCTACGGAGTGCAGTTCCCTGTAATTCTGACTCAGTTCTGGACTGAAATGCAGTACATCTTTAAGAATAGGGATAATTCCACTTACGTAGTAGATCTGAGACTGTCAATTAGACAGTGTGCTTAAGAATGGCAAATTACAGACACCCAGATGCCAGATTATCTTTGACATTAATTAGGGAGAGATTTAGAGCTTAGTTTCATTTTTAATACCACTGGCTTGCTGAGATACACAACTTTTGAGAGGCGAAGCACGTGGCAGAGAACTCATTTCAAAAGCCAAACACTTGTTGAGCTCCACCCAGTCACCATCATGCTGTAATGTCCAAAGATTTTTTGTGTGTGCACGAAATAAAGTTGGGTTTTTTTTGTATTTCCCTATCTATACATAATCAGCAATCAATTGAGAACTCAAAGCTGCAGTATCTTCTTCCCTGTCTCTGAACAGTGGAACAACAAGAAGCAAGATGCAAGAAAACAACGTACTGAGTTCTAGCTCTATGATTCTACTGAAAAGTCACAAATGATGGGAGGGACTACCTCCCCACACATTATACATTTGTATTTAAATAACAGAAGCTAATTTGCAGCAGCATCTACTGTTAGACCAAGAGAAGTAGCTGCAAAACCAGATTGGCCTGCCTTCTTTTTTTTTCCAAGGCACTTGTAAATATCAACTGATACTGAAGCTGTTGCATATTAAACTTTCATGAAATCTACGCTGTGGTGAGTTTAAAGAAAAAAGCACCTACGTTCTTCAGAAAACCTCAAAAATGACAACCATAAATGCAAAGCGAGAAGTTCAGATTTCAGGAAATCAGAAGTGTGTTACCTGTTATCTCTCTCACTGTTTGAAAGATATTTAATTTCTCTGGGTTGATTGCGGCGATGGTGTGATATGGGTCCCTGAAAGATTAAAAGGACAAAACGGGACACTATGAATAAAAAGAGATCAGGTTCTCAAAGCTATACCATTTAGAAAGCAGTATTCAGGAGCTAAACACCGTGCTTTTAGGCAGCATACGCTCCAGATTTCTTCAGAATGCTTCCAATTTCTTCAGACTGTTGTTCCTGCAGAACCTGTGTCTAACTTCTCCCAAGTCATCTTGAAAGAAAATAACAGTGCTTAGCATCTTTAAGATTCACATAACTAATGTTTTCACAAATATTTATGTTCATGGGAAATTAAGGGATTCTAAACAACCACAGGTGACCTCCCTAAATGAAAGATGAATTTTCAACATTTTTTCCAGGAATTCTAGCTCAAATGGTACAGCTGCAATACTGTACTACCAAGACTAATAAAACCGCTGCTGAAATGAGTGAAAAGCTTTAAACAACACAAAATTAAGAGCATGCCAGCAGTTCCTGACACATGGCATTCAAAGGGTACTTTGTAGAAGGTGTCGAATAGAGAACATCAAAAAGCACAGATCCTTGTCAAGAAAGTTTGTCACGTGAGAAATGAAACATCTCCACCAAACATTAAAATTTCAAAGTTAGATACACTGCAGTACAAAAAGATGAAGTTGACCTTGATTGAGTGTCATCATTTAGTAAATACTTCCTCCCCTCTCCAAATTTTAAAGGAGTAAGGACTCTCCAACTATCTAAGAAGCCCCCTATAAGCCCAACCCAAACAAAAACCCTTTAAAAATCCTTCTGTAACACCATGTTATGGTATTTTTGTTGGTTTTCTGAGGGTAGGAAACATCATCAGTAAGTGTGGAGCATGCATTTGCACCTCTCCTTCTGCATCATCGAGACTGTCTCTGGGGACAGGCCTCAAGTCTACGTGGTGACAGACTGAGGGCGTCACTTCTAACAATCCTGGAGGCAACTCCAAGTGAGCAGCAACAAAGTGAATTCTTAAATCTTAACCTAAAAGCCCAGAGTACCACAGAAGCATCATATACACTTAATTGTAACAACTGGGGACTCTCAGAAAACTAGATGACAAGTTTTGACTACCTAACAGAAACACAGCACTTTGCTTTTAAAATGCGTTATTATTAGAAAAGGAAAACCTTTGCCTGTAACACACACGAGGTTGCCAAATTTCATGTCCAAATCCTGAAGTAAAGTAGTCTTTAAAGATACACATATACATTCAAACCCCGTAAACAGTCAAATGTCTGATATGCTTTACCAACACAAAACTGTAGAACACTGCAGTTGTCTTCTACCATTCTTATTAGCAGAGTCAGGAGTTGTCAGTAGAACAGGCACAGTTGTATTATTGATTTGCAAAACATAACAAATTTTCAACAAAAAGTTGTTCTAGAAATATAAAGTTATGTTAATTAATTCTCAATTCTTCCTCTCTTCTTCTAATACAAGTTACTGGAATTTATGCTGTGGAAGGATTTATGTTTGCAAAACTCAGTGTCCTCATACCTAAGACTTGTTGGAGTGACTATTCTTCATAAAGGACGAGAGTCAAAATTTCACCATTACACGTCCTAGGCTTATATTCTTCTATTAAAATAGAACAAAATATTTTAACCCTCTGCTCTATAGTCCATAATCTGGGTATTTTTCAGATGAATAGTTTTATTCAAGGTTGGTTTTGGTCTCTTTAATGAAGAGACTTTTTTAATGAGACTCATCTTCTAACTTGGCAGCTAGTATAACTTGCACGACAAAGGCAGTTCTAATACTCAAAATTACATTTCATATGATGCATTGGAATAACCCCCACAAAATTGCTAATGTCCTCTAGCTTTGCATTTATTAGAGTCCTTCCTGTGCTGTGAGATTTAATAGATTTACATCCAGCCTCTTGGTCGGTCAGTCATTTGGCCAGATCACATAGTGTGAGGGCCTGAGCTCTAACTCCTGTGTGACCTCCTCCAAGGTTTCAACAAGTTTGAGGAAGCATTTCCTTAAGCCACTTGAACAAAAGTCCTTCTTCCTCCCTATACTACATTAACCTTTCACACTGCCCTCCCTGATGGAGAGATGAGAATCAACTACACCGTCAAAGCTCACATTTGCTGGCCTTTAGAGAATCACTGAGCTGCTGGGCCCCACTGAAGTGAATTTTCAACTGTCTTTCTCATGGCTGGAGACAAGCTGTAGGTGAAGCGTTACAACCAATCACTACATCAAATCAAGGAAACAAGTTGTTTCCTTCCACTTCACCTAGTAAGGAAATTTGAGCCAGGCAGTCTAGTGTCAACCATTTTATTATAATCTAAACATATCTGAATCTATAGAAAAGACTAAAGAAAAATCTCCTGGCACTACTCATGCCAGACTTCGTTTCAGATCAATCCGCAGACGTTTAGTTAATCACATTTTTGCTATGCCATAAAGCTGCAAACACAGAGTTGGTTTGGGAACTCTATTTAAGATATCACATCTTGACAACCAGTTGCACGCAATGGTGAAAACTCCAAGGAATCTAAATATCAAGTTAAAATTTGAAGCCTACACAGTGCTAGAAGCCATTGAGTACTTCACACTGTTAATGTACCACGACATAGTTATTCCAACAAAGGAGCAAAAGTGCTTAACATTCTTTGTGCCTTTTGAGGATTTCGCTCATTTCAACAGGTCCAGAAATACCTCAGTGTCACATGTAATTCACCATGGCTGATTACTACCTGAAGGCTTGAATTAGTAAGAAGATACAATCATGTTTGTGTTCTCTCACTGAGAGAAAGAATACAAGGCAAGAAAGCAGCTAGCTGCATTGGACCTCACCTGACCATCAAAACAGGTTAAGTGTGTCCTCCCTAGACAACTCCAGGGAAGTGTGTCCTCCCTAGACAACTCCAGGGAAGTGTGTCCTCCCTAGACAACTCCAACTTGCAGCACGTGCACCATGCATTCACCTTTGCTACAATGGCAAACACACTGTGCACCAAACCATGAACAGCAAAGGCACTAATCATCCGGCTGGTGTGTTTTCCTCTAGAAGATGACACTGGTGAGACTTTTAAGTACTGGCTCTGTACCTCCACATCTTAAACCATTACTAAGACTCATTAAATATACAGCCACATTTAAACCAAAATACTGGATTTAAATACCAGTGAGTTTTTTATGTCTTTGAAATCGAAACTTGAATATATACTTCAAAACTGACTGGCAAGAGGGCAGCTTTTTTGCACGTCCATGCAGTGACAGTCACCCAGGCTATGACAGTTTATGCCGGGTGAGGCACGCACTCTGTATGTTCTGACACTGCTGGTCATACAAAAGTTAGAACAAACTCATGGAAGGTTTCTCCCTTTTTCCTTTCTATTCTCTAATCAGCCATTATCATAAGCCACTACCGAGGATCTCATAAAGCAACCAAAGATCACAGTTGTCTTTTCTTTTTCTGGTACAGTCTACTTCACCCTTTCTTTTCCTAGAGGCTGAATCCTAAGAATGAAGGTATGAGTTTCCTTCATCATGGAAGGCAGAACATTAATTTATCGTGGACCTACTCTTCGTAGAAGAATCCTGCAGCCATCATTAAGAGGTGGACGCAATTTGATTCAGCTGGCACCATGACATAATCTCTTAACATTTTGTCACTTACCCATGAATCCCAGTAACGAGGAAGATAAGGTTGCCATTGATCTTGGTACAGTTTATGAACTTGTCAATGTTGCTGGAATCCACTGTCTGAGCTGACACTAAACTCCCTGTTCCAATGCCATCACATGCTGCCAAAACAAGGAGTTTGTGTAAAAAACTAGGAAAACAATTACTGAATCAGAACATGTCGGCCTTCCAGACACAAGTCTTCATTTCTTTCAGAGATAAAGCAGCAGAGAAATGTTAAAACAGCACCCTTTACCCACACTCCCAAAGAAGCATGTGCCAATTTAAAACAAGCAATAAGCTAAAGACCTGCCACAGAAGGACATCCTGGCACATAGGTTAAGGTATTTCACACCACATCTGAAAGCAAGTATGAATCACACCAAATCCCACTCAAGCTGGCTGTAAACAGGTAGCTGATAACTTAGCTCAGACCAGCCTAGTGGCCATGCCATTTATTTGTGCACTACTCCCTGCAGAAACTGAGGGGTCCCACCACTGCTAGCTCAATAGGTCCCCCGTGCTTCGGTGGATTTGTGAACTTAACCATTCACATGCCATAAGGTCCTTCACAAAGGACGTACAAATAATTCTTTACTCATCATCCCAACATAAAACTTACTGGGGTCTGAAGAAACTTCTCTGTGTAGCCTTCTATACAGCTTAGTTGCATTTTCTGGGACACATGATGCATACAGAAAAAAATCCTTCACGAATTCCATCACGTAACATATCCTATCTCCCTAACTGGGCTGCTCTAATGGCAACTACCAGCAATACACATGAACCTTTTACAAACACATGGTAACTTTCCTCCCTCACAGAGTAAGGCTAAAAGCTTGACAGGAACACTACACATGTATTTCTGTGCATAAAATTATCTATCCAGCAAAAAATTTATTTATTGCAATTAGCTTAAAGGGCTGGACACTGCCTTCAGTTACAATTTATCATATCAGCACTCTGCCTTGGCAGAGATCTCTGTATTTGACTGTTTCAGCCACGTGGAGGGACTGTTGATTTACAGTTTTTCAGTAGCTTCATTATGAACTCCCTTCCAGACATGGCTTCCACTAGGACTGAAAAGGGGCATAGGCCCACGCAGGAAAACTGATGCTGCTTTGCTCCTGAGACCTTCAAGCAGTGAGCAGAAAGTTTCCCTGGACAGCAAAGTAACCGATACATTTCGGTCTTCTCAACAGCACCAACACTGAAGAACTTCTAGTCTATGTTTTAGAGACTTAGAAAGGAGGTAGAAGATTCTGGGAAAACAGAGACATTTTTAAAAAACAGAGGGAATAAATGGAAACCTAACCTTGTATTGACAAGTATGAGACATATCACACACAGAAGCCACGGCTTTAGTATGGCCCCCTTTGGAATGACAAAAAGACAGCTCTAAACACTTCCAGGAAATACTTGTCATTAAAATAACATAATAAAGAATTCTTTCGGGTTTCTCTAAAGCCAACATTCCCTTCATTTTTATCTAAATAAAATTGGTTTGGTTCTATTACCATTACAACAGTAAGTTTTCATTCTATTGTATAAACTTCACACACAGCCCACACAGCTCAAAGTTACGTGGATATCCGGAGGCTATTAATATTCTGCAACATGCTCATGAAGGGTATTTCATGCCAAAGTAGCACCCTGCTCTGCTCCTCTACAATGCAGACCACATTCAAGAGAACTTACACTAAACTACTGCCTACCTTTAGGACAAATGTCAGTGCAGGGCTTGCACATCTTAATACCGTTTTCTTCAACCTCCATCTTGGAACTCGGACACGCACGGACACAAGAGCTGGAATCTACCACAAAGTTGTCTGAAGAGGAAAAGAAGATATTGACAGAAAGTCAACCACTGGACTAAACAATACTGGTACACAGGTTTATGGACTCTATGTCAATCCATATTATTAATTACCTCAGCACTCCCACATTGACATTAACATTTAACATTCAGTGTTTTCAGAAGCGTATAAGCAAGCAAATTAGGCACGTTTTCGGAGACATATTAAAATCCACGAAATTATCAGGCCTGATCCCGCCTCCTCCCTCAATTTGGTTTTATCATAATTTGTGACAAAAAAAGCTACAGTAATTGTAGAAAAATAAACCAAGATGCTTTGCCCTGTCTCTTTCCCACATACACAAATATGTACATCTGGGATAAAACGCTGCACAAGACAATGACAAGTATTTCAATTTCACCTTGTAAAACAACTGCTGAAGGGGATATAGACTGATCTTACCTAATTGAAAGCTGAATAATGTCAAGAAATGGAGGGGGGCGGTGGGAAGGAAAAGTTCCATGAAGTATTTGGACAAAGCATCATATACGTCAAGTAGTGCACGGCATACTAGTTTTGTAAAAAAATATCTTGCTTCAAAAAATCCACCACTCTATTAGAGACAGAACTAAGCCGTGACAGTCACAGCCTCAGCCTACTGCCAATCTGAACTTCTCCACAGAGATTCAAAATTTGCATTTTGCTTTGGGTTGAATTATGATTCCCTTTATTATAGATTACTCATCCTTCTTATATCTAATTTATCTATAAAATAATTAATGCACAACAGAACTGTAAACCTTGGTGGAAATGAAAGGGAGGGCATGAATACTGTCTCCCTTATTTTTCTTTCTAACTAAAACAGAAGTATCAAAGACTATGTAAGTGATGATCCTCTAAATTTTTCTGTTACTTTTCATCAGCTGCCTGGCATCTCAGAAGCATGTGGTTTTTACATCTATGGGATTATTCTTTTTTTAACTCCCTCCTCCTCTAATTTTACTCTGGAGCTTTAAGACTGTATTGTAGTTTTTCCTCATTGGGTCAGAACTGCTCAGAAAATATTTAGGGTAACTTTCTGCCAAACCATTGTTATTCCAAGGTAAGAAAAGGGCATCAGTATCATGAAAACACCTGCTGCCAGGTAGTACTGGTGGTGGACTGTTATTTTCTGAAACAGCAATTACTACCCTTTTACAATCCCATTATCTATCTTAACAGTCCGTTCTGAAATTCACAAATGCTGATCTAAAGCATGACTGTAACCAAAGTGGTGGTGATGATAACAGCAGCTTAAGAAAATTTTAAAGATCTTAAAGATCTTTTCTTTAAGAAAATCACTACAGTGTAGGACACTTGGAAAGCATCAGCAACCCAGAATGCCACTGTCTTCAGTTAACCCAGGACTGAGCTACTACAGGCTGCAAGCACGTGTGGAGTGATTTGAGATACTGCACTATGCACTTAGCTCTCAGCCTCCCATTGTTTTTCAAGGCTCCTGCAATGCAACTCACACTTTCCACCACCGCAGAAAAAGGCAGCTAATACAGCACTTACGTGGGCACTTTTTGACACAAAAAGCCCCATAGGTGTACTTGGCATTGTGATTGTGCTCCAGCTGGAAGGTGGTAGGATTGTACACAAAAGTCTGGGGACACTGTGTGACACATGCACCACTATCGTTGAAATTCATACAGGCCTGCAAAACAAGGGAGGAAAAAAATATTAAATCATACAGCTGCTTTTGTTTTGTTTTGTTTGTTTTTTAGTTTAAAATACGGTCTTGATGGTTCAGACTTGCTGCAACAGTGAGGAATGTGATGCTATTTTCCAACCTTTACTTTGGCTACTTAGATGTCTTGCTAGGACCTTAGCAAACACATGACTTATAAAAGCAGGCTCACAGAGCCCCTTTGATTTGAAACACAGTTGACTGTTAACAGCACTTCCTACAAAAACATAACAACATTGTAATTTGTTTCATGACTATCCTTACTACTAGAAATCAACTAATTCACAGCTCGATAGGACATTTTAAAACTGCCAAGAGTGAACTGCTATTTATCACAGTCAGTCTAAACAAATGCTAATGACTTTGAGTCATGGAGCATGAGCCCATCTTCCAGCTGAAAACTGAAATTCCCAATTAGAAAGTAAGAGGGATAAGAACTTCTTTTGAGCTAGCACAGGAGGGGGTCATTTCCCTAAGTGGCAAGTTTAACAAGGTCAGTTGCTTCACACCCTGAGAAAGAAAACAGTACTTTGTATCACTTAGCATTCAAGCTCAGCCACCCACAGCTGGCAGAGAGGACAGGGCCCTGACAAATGAAGAGGCAAGTGTGTGGATAAAGAGATTAATGGTATGCAGGGAAAATAATTGACCATGCAAGGTTGATAATCAGTAATGGCAAAACCCCACCAATTTTGACATTCTGTAGCACCACGTATCGTGTCTATGGTTTAAACCACAGCTTAGAAAAAACCCTGTTGGGAGTAATATTCACAAAGGATACTGTAAATGTCAAATTTCATACGAATATGAAAGCTGTAGCCTGGCTTGGATCTCTCCAGCAGTTTAAGCAACCACTGCTACTGGATTCTGCTTCCCCACTAACCTGTCTTCCAGCAGCCAGGCTGCTTCAGAAGTTTCAGTCTTCTGGTCTTTTTCCAGGTTGTAAAAAATACAGATGGTTTTGAATCTTTAAAGAGTCAACAAGTGTACCAACATGTGTGTCATGTCTCCTCCCCTCCAGGGCTGGGACAGAGAAAAGTGAGAAACATTTCTCTGTTCTGCAGCTTTTATCAACAGTTCTTATCTCCATTCAGCTCAGGACCAGCAGGACTGAGGAAAGTTAATTGTTATGTCAGAGGATTTCAGAAGGGAGAGGCTAATAACATAACCAAGGGAGAAAGACAAACTCTGCTGCTGAAAGGGACAAACAAGGAGTACCATGATGAAGGTACTGTCCTATATGGAACATGAGCTAAGCCAAACTGCTGATCCTATCTTTTCTGGTTCTTTAAAATGCATATTACAAAAACTATCAGTTTCTCACAGCTCTAGATTTTTTTTTTTCTTACGAAGGTAAATATAGTCAGTTACTTCTAAGAACTGGATGGGAAGTCCACCCTAGGAATAGGGTTGTGTCACTTTTCTGGTTCCATTGGGCACTCAACCAGGCCCTCCTATTCATTTCAAGTTTTAGATCCAGTTGGTTTTGAATGCAAGATAAGAACATCTCTAAAACTTTGTTTTAGCACGTTTGCTTGCAGTTATGTCAGATGATAATTATTGTCTTGCTTTTAGAAATGAATATGCAAATGATTATATGGCAGCATATGGAGGAGGATGGATGAATTTTATCTAGAAATATTAAAACCATATTTACAACAGGATGCTGTTGCAAGCTGCCATAATATGCTAAAGGATTTGTAATGCTTCATGAACTCTACTTTTGCTTATTAATAAATACTATTTTAGTTTGTTTCCTCAACACATTTTTTACATCTGCTGTTGACTTAAAAGATACTCTGTCATGTACATGAATATCCTCCGACAATAGTTTAGCAGATTCATAAAGTAAAGCACACCAATACTCTTCGGAAAGATAGCAATTCTCAGGAAAAACTCATCTAGAAGATTTGGAAAGTTTTAATTTCTGACTATAATGCTTTGTATACATTTGTAATCACTTCAATAATATATGCAAACATCTAGCATTTGTTGCTAAATGCCACTAATTTGTGAATGAAAGCACAAGAAAATACACAGGGAAAAAACAAAGTTCTGGATCTCAGCCGAAAGCTAAGCACAGTTGTCTATAGCCTACAGGGTACACTTTTCACCCAGTGTGTACTAAGCAAACAATGACTAGTCCTGAAAACTGCCAGATCCCTGCTGAATTTCTTTTACATTGCTCTCAGGCCAGAAGTGAATGAGAATAAAGCCCTGGGTGCTTCTCTGCTGGATCAGAACACACACGCTAGTTGATTTTTAACACGCATATTTCCATAACTGCCACAATTCAGAAAGCCTGACTCGTTTTCTTTCAGGCTGCAGTATTACAGAACTTAGGCTACAGGGAACTTGTAATTAACCTTTGGAAACGGACACACATCAATACATCAGCTTTGAGGACGTTCCTCAACAATCATACAGGAACAGTAACTGCATATTTCCTCTTTCCTTTACCTATTTAGATCGTGCATGACACTGGAAAGAATGTTATTTCCCATCTCTCTAGTCCAAAGCCAACACAGAACTTTCGGTGAGCACTGGTTCAGGCATACCATGTGTGCGGAACATCTACTTGTGCAAAGCCCCAGACACAAAAACCAGCTGTAGTATAACCTGTTAGCAGGTACATCAGGCCATCCCTGCACTTCATTAGCAGTGAAAGAATTGCATTTAGAATGTGTTTTTGAAGCACAACACCTACCACTATCAAACAATATCTGGACAGCGAGCAACTTTCAGTCAGGGAAATACTCATTTTTGCCAGTTCATTGTGATCCGTTTGCCTACACTATCAAAACTGCAACTTTCCATACTGTAAGACCCCCTCCTCCAAGTCCTATCTGGCAGATTTTAAAAGGAGCCTACTCGACATTGTAGATATTTGTGTCTCAAATTACTTGGGTACCTCTGAAAATCCACATCTCTCTGCATGTTCTAGTTCTCAGCTTCTTTAGGCTTAAGTTTGCTTCCCCTGAAAACATCAGCGAAACTCGTCTCTGAAACAACTCACTAATGAGCTACACATTTTTTAAGATTGTCTCTGAAACTCACTAATGAGCTACACATTTTTTAAGATCAGTGTTGGGTTCTGAAGCAGCTTGCACTATTATAAATAATGGACAACAAACAAGACAAACTTGTCTAAAGGCCTCTATGTTGAGATTGTTTTTTTGTTGTTGGTTTTTGTTTTTTTTGTGGGTTTTTTTTTTTTGTAAGGGAAAAAGTTAGCCTTTTCATCTTAAGCATGTGTAGTAGCACACATTTGAGGTAGAGTATTTTGGAAACCACTTTCCTTCCATCTCCACTAAGAAGCATGCCCAGTAAAAGAGCTGAATTTAAATCAAGCCTGGCAGTAATAGGGAACACCTTTCAAAGAGAAGCTAAATTGTATTCTCGACTTTTCAAATAAAAGGCACACAGAGCAGTAATAAAAGCCATGCTCAAATGTAATGATAAATACGTCTAAAAATTCCCTATCACCTCTAAAAGTTAATTTTAGAAAAAGCAAAAGATAAAAATCACAGAGATTAGCATATTAATGGTTCCCAATCCGTATTTACAAATCTCATAAATCTGTTAATGGGTAATATTAAATAGATAAGTGATGTTAATATAACGTGAAAAATATTAAATGGTAAAATTTGCAGCCTAAACCTAGGAGTGCGCGTGCAATACATAAAAAGGGACAAAACTGTGAATTCATGGATTAAAGCATTAAGAATTTTCAGTGTGACTGCCAAGATTAAGAACAACAAGAAGTCTCACACATACAAAGCAATCAGTGTCTTTAGGTCCGGAACAGCCTCCAGCGCATTCCCGGTGGCAGCAGTCGCTGACGTAGGGCCCATAGCACCGTCCATCACACTGCTCGGCGCACACTGTCTTCGTTACTAGGAGGAGACAGGAAAAATTGTCATGTCAGTATCAGAACTAAGGGGAAAGCTCTTCGACTGCACACTGAGGAAAACAACAAACTGAACAGCATACTGAAAAAACCTGAAGGTTTTAAAGTAATTGCTTCAATGGTACTGGCCACACACATCCCCCTGAATACCTTCACGATACCTTCTTTAGGAACATGTGTTGCTTGAGCACTGCAGACAAAGAATTTTTAAAGTATTTGCTCTTATCCTTGGAATATTATTATCAAATTATTAGTTTTTGTAAATAGTTGATGAAAAGATAAGGGGAAAAAAAACAACCAACCCAAAAAGTAACAGAAGAGCCCATGAGTTCCAGGTGAATTTTCCCCCACAAAGAACAGCAACACTGAGTAAATGAGTGAAATTCAGAGCGAGGTCAGCAATCTCAGAGTCAAACACTGTTCTTGATGGCAACAAATCTGACAAATAGGCCATGAGATAACAGAACAGAATACAACCTGCAGATCAGAAAACATGTGGAAACACCAGTTGCCTTTTCTAAATAACACAATCCAGTCTTCAATCGCAGGGAAACAACCATATTCTACCAACTGGAAAGCACAGTGATTTAAGTTGCTCCATACTACTGCCCCTCAGGGCTTAGTCTTGTGCAAAGAATGGTCAACAAGTGGAGCACTTTCCTGCCCTCACTCAGATATAGCCTGTATCTTTATTTTACGGAAAAAGAAATTAATATTATTTGCAAAATTATACCACCCACCGCCTACAGAACACCAGGAAGCCGTGCTGTCAGCTGTCTTTTGATAAAAGCAGGGATGTTACACTTCTGTAATTAACCTTTACCATTTATTTTGTTAAAAGCATTTAATTACTTCTCTATGGAAAACACTTCAAGAAGCCAGAGAAACCAAAATTTCATCCAGCTTTCTGCTTGATTCTGCTATTTAATTTATTGATAACTCCTTTATAAGTACTTTCCAATCCAAATTCCCTCCACTACTTGCTGGAAATACTTCAGGTAATACTAAAGCTTTCTGTTAAATACAGTATTTATTTAGGACATAAAAACGTAACTAACCAAAGAGAAGCCACTACTTATAATCTACAAAATAAAGCAATGCATTTTTAGGATAATTCCGTCTTGCTGATACCAGAAGCAAGCTCCAAGATAGAAAATACTTTCATGCCTTATGCAATCTGATTTAAGAAATAAGAGAAATTTTTGCAAATACACTTGCTGTCAACACTGCTAGAGACACAGGTTAGAAGGATTAGTTTATTTAAGCAGCAGTACTGACAAACATTAGGACTGAGATACAAACCACTCAGTGTTAGGCTGAACACACATCACACAGTATGCCACCACCACCACGCCATTAGCTGATAGGGACGGACTCTCAATCTCATCAAAATGAAGACCTCATTCAGTCAGTGACTGCATATTGTTCTCTGCTAGTTCAGGAACTGGTCCCTAGCACCTAGATTTGCACTGGACTGGGCAGGCTCTGCTTTCACCTCAAAGGGAGGGGAGGCTCAGATTTATCCCGACTTAAAGGACGACCCTGTTTGCCAGAGGCTCCCCCTGCCACCAGTGGAGAGGCACAAAAGTGGAGGACGTTCATTTCACCCCGTCTCACAACACAAACCCTCTGCCTCATCTGCACCACTCCTCAAACAAGGACTGCGCCCCCGAGCCAAGGAGGTGCCATCCAGGCACTCCGCCTCCCTTTTACACAGCACTCATGACCAGACATACCTCATTTCTTAAAACGACTGCTCCTCTCTCACCGCTCTCCACCCCTCCGGCTAGCACTACTGCCGGC